TTATTTGCATATTATAGGCCTAGTTAACACGAGTGCCAAAGCGACTGTTTAACCAAGTTGTTGACTGCGTTTTTACCACCCAACTAAAACCTACCATGGCAGCTGGAGGGGTTCATACACGTGCCATAGTTGTGATGCTTTTTTTTTGTGTTTGCGGCAAATTTAACTTGGCATGTCAACTTTGACAGTCGCCACTGCCTGTCAACTGGCTCATTGAAGTTAAAAGGGCTGTGGCACAAATGTGAGCCATGCATTTGGCTCAAAGTTGGGGCATGATCAGCTAAAAAAAAAAAAATAGGCATTTTTAAAGTGGCAGTATCACCTCCTGAATGTCTGGAAGCTGCTGCTCTACCACCCTTTGAAAAACAATTCACCCTGGATTGCTTTTCAGAGGGGTAATAGAGACTGCGACCTGTGTACAGGGCCATAATGTTACAAAACTAACTTAAAGTGGACCTATCATTAAAACTGTGAGTCACAAGTTTCAACATTGCTATATAACCTAATTAGAGAAGCTGAAGTTTGGGATTGATAGGATACAGTACCAAACACATTAGCTATGTTTAATGCTAGGTTCACACCTATGCAGTTTGCCTTTGATCCATTTCTGCAGTGCTTTTTGCAGTGCGTTGTGTTTTTTGCACATGCGTTTTTGATGAGTTTTGCATTTTTTTCCCAACTTGCTACTGGGCAGATTAAAACGTGTCAAAAAAAAACATAAAAAAATGCACTACATGCATTTCTGCAGCATCTCTATTGAAGTCTAATGAACCAAAAACACAACCTTTTGCAATTAAAAATTCCCTGACCCTTTCCAAAAATGCACCGGGTGAAAACGAGGAGATGTAAGCCTGTCCCATAGGAAATCATGTTAAATGGACTGCTGTGCATTTCTGCAAAACGCAACGGAAAACGCTTAGGTGTGAACCTAGACTAATGCTGTCTATCCCATTTCCTCTAGGCAGGTACTTCTAGTATAAATCTTCCCTGCAGTGCCTCCTTCATTGTTGTTGAATTTTGCCTTGGGAGGCTAGCTGCCCTCCACCATTCACATTGCCCATTTTACTATTCTCCCACAATGCTTTGCATCCTGTAACTGGGCTGTGGAAATCCTGTAATTGAACTGCTGCTTCTCCATTCATAGAATGTGATGTGTGAGCATTTTGTGAATGGCAGAGAAGGCAGAAGGGTTCAGGCGCAACTTTTCTTAGTAGCAGAGGCTGCTGTTAACCTTCATAGCACTGGAAGAAAGCTGCTCAGGGCAGAGTCCAGTGGCCATGAAGGAGGCGCTGCAAGGAAGATTTGCACTAGAAGCAGTCACCTACAGCTAATGGGATGCACACTATTACACATAACTACTGTGTCTGGTGATGTATACCCAAAAACCTAAAACTTAACTTCAGATTTAAATTAAAAAAAACAAATATCCCCCTTTACTGCAATGAACAAAAAAAACTTCTACTCCGCAGCTCCATCATGTGTCAAAAAGCTTAGGCAGTCTAGATCACATGGACTTTGGCTACCAGGAATACTGTGAGTATTTCAGGTCAATAGAATCTATTTTTTTTTCACACAGACCAGTTCTGGTTGACTTGCAATGAAATAATCGAATCAGTAAGGCACAACCATTGTGCAGCATTACTTAGCACGAATCAAAGATCTAGATGCGAGAGTCATATGGCTGTCCTCATGTGTATACAGTCATGGCCGAAATTGTTGGCACCCTTGATATTTTTCCTGAAAATCAAGTATTTCACACAAAAAAGGTATTGCATTAACACATGTTTTGCTATACACATGTTTATTCCCTTTGTATGTATTGGAACAAATATAAAACAGAGGCAGAAAAGCAAATATGACATAATGTCACACAAAACCCCAAAAATGGGCTGGACAAAAGTATTGGCACCCTTAACTTAATATTTGGTTGCACACCCTTTGGAAAACATAACTGAAATCAGTCGCTTCCTATAACCATCAATAAGCTTCTGACACCTCTCACCCGGAATTTTGGACCACTCTTCCTTTGCAAACAGCTCCAGGTCTCTCTTATTGGAAGGACACCTTTTCCCAACAGCAATTTTAAGATCTCTCCACAGGTGTTCAATGGGATTTAGATCTGGGCTCATTGCTGGCCACTTCAGAACTCTCCAGCGCTTCTTTGCCATCCATTTCTGAGTGCTTTTTGACGTATGTTTGGGGTCATTGTCCTGCTGGAAGACCCAGGATCTTGGACGCAAACCCAGCTTTCTGACACTGGGCCCTACAGTGCGACCCAAAATCCTTTGGTAATCCTCAGATTTCATGATGCCTTGCACACAGTCAAGGCACCCAGTGCCAGAGGCAGCAAAACAACCCCAAAACATCATTGAACCTCCACCATATTTTACCGTAGGTACTGTGTTTTGTTCTTTGTAGGCCTCATTCCGTTTTCGGTAAACAGTAGATGATGTGCTTTACCGAAAAGCTCTATCTTGGTCTCATCTGTCCACAAGACGTTTTCCCAGAAGGCTTTTGGCTTACTCAAGTACATTTTGGCAAACTGTAGTCTTGCTTTTTTATGTCTCTGTGTCAGCAGTGGGGTCCTCCTGGGTCTCCTGCCATAGCGTTTCATTTCATTTAAATGTCGACGGATAGTTCGCGCTGACACTGATGCTCCCTGAGCCTGCAGGACAGCTTGAATGTCTTTGGAACATGTTTGGGGCTGCTTATCCACCATCCGGACTATTCTGCGTTGCAATCTTTCATCAATTTTCCTCATCCGTCCACGACCAGGGAGATTAGCTACAGTGCCATGGGTTGCAAACTTCTTGATAATGTTGCGCACTGTGGACAAAGGCAAATCTAGTTCTCTGGAGATGGACTTGTAACCTTGAGATTGTTGATATTTTGCCACAATTTTGGTTCTCAGGTCCTCAGACAGTTCTCGTCTCCTCTTTCTGTTGTCCATGCTTAGTGTGGCACAGACAGACACACAATGCAAAGGTTAAGTGAACGTCTCTCCTTTTTATCTGCTTTCAGGTGTGATTTCTATATTGCCCACACCTGTTACTTGCCCCAGGTGAGTTTACAGGAGCATCACATGCTTGTAACATTCTTATTTATCCGCAGTTGTGAAAGGGTGCCAATACTTTTGTCCAGCCCATTTTTGGAGGTTTGTGTGACATTATGTCGAATTTGCTTTCTTTCCTCCCTTTTTTTGTTTTGTCCCAATACACACAAAGGGAATAAACATGTGTATAGCAAAACATGTGTTAATGCAATACGTTTCGTGAGAAATACATGATTTCCTGGAGAAATATCAAGGGTGCCAACAATTTCGGCCATGACTGTATATATATATATATATATATATATATATAACTGAAAACTATACAAAGAAACAATGTTCTTAATTATTAATATATATTACATATTAATATATACTGCTAAGATTATTTTACACTAAGCTAAATACAATCATCTGTATATCTAAGAAAAAATAGCTAAATAAAACGACTACAGTTCCTACACACTAACTTACCCATTAAACTGGTGTATATTTAAAATTCAAGTTTGAAGTGGTTGTAAACCTTAGACGTGAAATATGAACAAAGCATATCCCTCTATAGTGTGTACCAGTATCAATTAGGAGCATTAAGTGTCATTTCTGTCTGCTGCTTGATTCCTTTGCTATCTGCTTGATTCCTTTGCTATCTGCTTGATTCACAACTGACTTTTCCTGATGCCAAGAGAAGAAAAGTGACAGGGGAGGGACATCCAACACACAGGCTGATTGCCAGCCTCAGCTCAGTTCCTGTGTGCTGTGTGGAGGGGGTGTGTCTCTTCCCTCCAATCAGCTCTCAGAGCTCTCCTCCCTGTGTTCTGCAGTGTGTAGCTTCAGATCCCCGCCCCCTGTTTTCTGAAAGCTCAGACAAACTTTATAAACTCTGGACTTTGAACAGATGTAGAGAAGAGAAGTCTGCAGATAAACAAGTATAACCTATGTTGGAGTATTTGTTTTATCTCTGTGTATCGCCTGAGGCCAGTCACTTGGGTATATGTAAGGGTTTATAACCACTTTAGGTAATTTTAACAACCCAGCTGCAAGATGCTTGGAAATTGTGATTTGGTTTCTGAAAAATGTGACTACTGGTGAAAAAAAGGGCACCCAGGCTGTCTTCTGGAGGCTGATCACATGACCATTGCTAAGGCACTGGTCACAGAGTTTCTCACTGGCAGTTTTCAGACCCCCAACTGACATTTCCTTATATATTCTGACTTGAGTTTCTAGGTAAAAGCTCACTCTATGTTGTCTTCAACTGCTTTCTATGACTAGGGTTTCACCCTTTTTTTAATTTAATTTAAATGATCTAGAATAGATACATATGGGGTCCTCAAAGCATCTGCAACTTATTTTAATATATTTCTTGGTCCCTGGGGGGTATATAACAGTAGAGCAGTACTTACCTCTGCGCTGAACCTCCTGACTTGCTCATCAATGAGGGATTATAAAACTTCTCATGTTCATTGTCTCTTGGATGCATTTTCTTAGACATCAGCTTAACTTGTAGATCCTGCATATCAAATAAAATTTTTATCCAAACACAGGTTGTCATTGCCCCATGAGTACCTTTTCAGCTGCAATTTTTTTTGGGGGGGGGGTTAGGTAACATTCCTAACTACTTTTTAAAATAGCTTTGCAATCTGAAAGGTGTTTTTTTTTTTCTCCTGGCTCACAACTCTGGTTACTGACAGAAGCATAAGAAAAATAACGTAAGAATATTCCACAGAAAAGGCTGTAGATTTGCAAACATAATAGTTTTTTTTAAATTCTGGCCATTTTACTTACAAATAGTGGTGCACACAGAATCTGGTGCAGCTGTGCATGGTAGCCAATCAGTTTCTAGGTTTTACTGTCAAAGCTTACTTGAACAAGCTGAAGTTAAAGTGATACTAAACCCAGGACCCTGCATTCACTAGATCTGGTCTCCCACAGTATACAGAACATGGAAGTGCAATTATTTTAGTAAATATAAACTGCTAAATACCTTTTCTCATCAGCAGTTAGAGCAGTCTTGTGACTTCTATCAGTGTCCAGCCCAGCACTAGTTAAAGCTTGTAGGAGGAGTTTTTTCTGCTCTAGGAGGATGGAAATCCCCTGACCTCTGTCTGGACAGTACTGATTGGCCCTGTGCTGATCACATGCACTCTTCCAAGGAAAAAAAAAACCTCTCTAGCAATACACCAAACTGAGCATGTGCATTCCTATGGTTCAGTCTGGAAATAAGTGGTGGTCACTTGAAAAAGGGGAGGAACAGAGAAGAACGGATCAAACAGCCTTTTTACACAATGAAGAGGATTAACCCCTTAGGTTCCACAGTGGGTATAACAAGAATGCTTTACTGCATATACAGACTGATTTCACTGTTGTGGGTTTAGTAACACTTTAAAAGCTGATTGGTTACTATGCAGAGCTGCACCAGATTCTGTGTGCACCAGTTTTAGTAAATCCCCCCCAGTGTTTGCTTACCTGCAAGTTATCAAGTCTCAGCATTTCTTGCATACACCTCTCTGCTTCTCTGGCCTCCATCTCTGCTTTCAGCCTTAACACAGCCAGGTCCTTCTCTTGCTGCTCCAACTGGGTCTTGAGAAAACATAACAAAAATATGACTTTGATGTATGCAGTTCAAATTCTACTATTTTAAAGTTGTGGATAGAGGAGGCAAGAGTTTACATTTTTGTCAAGTATGTATATATCTCTGTGATCTCATAGCAGAACTTTTTCCTGAGGCTGTGATGTACACAGATAAAATAGGGGCATGCGGTTGTCACCAATGCAGGCAGGTACAGACAATAATGAAAACAGTCAGATGTTATTAAATGTTTTTGCTCTTCTATAAACATGTTTTATTTCTATTTGCATGCATCCCTGTTGGACAAATCTCTCACATACCCTTCTGTAACAAAAAGCAAAAGGAAATCTCCCCAAGATGGACAGGTCACAATAAAAATCTGACAGAGCCCTTCCCTACTCTATAGCTGAGTTTTAAAACTTAACTCCATGCAAGCCATTAAAAATACATATATGGTACCTGTTTAATGTGACAGATTTGGATTTGTATTTCTGAGAGTAAAATGTAGAGAAAGAAAACACCATGGAGCCTGCTATTGCTCACTTCTGAAAATGCTAATTTCCTGAATGGCTTTAACTCTGACTGACTACAGCAAGCACACAGATCAGTTATGATTTTACTTTAAAGTGTTACTAAACCCAGGACTCTGCATTCACTATATCTGGTCTCCCCCAGAACATGGAAGTGCAATTATTTCAGTAAATATAAACTACCTTTTCTCATCAGCAGTTAGAGCAGTCTTGTGACTTCTATTAGTCTTCAGCAGAGCACTGGTTAAAGCTTGTAGGAGGAGTTTTCTTTCTCCTCTAGGAGGATGCAAAATTCCTGACCTCTGTCTGGACAGTGCTGATTGGCCCTGTGCTGATCACATGCACTCTTTCAAGAAATAATAACCCTCTCTAGCAATACACACCAAACTGAGCATGTGCACAATGGCTACGGTTCAATCCGTCTTATCAGGAGATAAGACGCGGACATTTGAACAAGAGGATGAGCAGAGAAGCCAGGATCAAATGGCCTTTTTACACAATGCAGAGGATTAACCCCTTAGGATCCACAGTGAGTATAATAAGCATGCTTTACTGCATAAACAGACTGATGTTACTGCTGTGGGTTTAGTAACACTTTAATGCTATGCTTGTTCAGCTTCAATTTTTCTGAATTTATTTAAGTCAAATGATTCACATTATTGCCTGGCAATGAGCATGTTCACAAGTATGTCAGCAGTGGCAGCCTACAGGCGACTCCCAGCTCAGGTTCACTTCAAGCAGCAACACAGCTTGGTCAAGAACACCACCCAGCCTCTTGACTAGACATTTACAGAGCAGGAACACTCTGATGAAACCCTCACTCTGCTCTCTACTCCTGTCAGCATGTTTATTGTCAACACACTTACAGTACAGCGGAGACTGATGAGCTCCTTAGTAATACCACACTGACTCCCAGTCTAAGTGTTGCTGTACAGGGGATTGAGGGCTGGTCATAGCAAGACACATTCAGTTACTAACATTATCTACATTTCAAATACATTTAAGATTATATTAACTGTATTATATTTAACATAATATTTCACTACATTAGTGGGTTTATTTTTTTCAGAGTTCAACATCAAACATGGCCACCAGTCACAACAATTGCTGGCATATGAGATTTCAGCAGGGTGTATCAGTCCTGCTCTGTCCGTTTGCAGTATAGAAGAAGCCACTGTAGGATTTATATAGGAGGAAATCAGGAGTAGTATTAAGCCTATTTACAGAGATTGAAATTGCTATTTTGGCATTCTTTCCACAGGAAATATAATGTTTAACACATCTGCCTTTTTTTACATTTTTAAAATTTTTTTCACAATTTTACTATTTTGCTGTTATTTTTTTATGATCTGGAGAAAAGTATCTAAAAATACATAAATAATTTATTTATTTCAGGTACTTATATAGCGCCGTCAATTTACACAGAGCTTTACATATATATTGTACATTCACATCAGTTCCTAACCCTCAAGGGGCGTACAATCTAAGGTACCTAACTTACATCCATACATACACATACTAGGGCAATTTTAGACAGGAGCCAATTCATCTACCAGCATGTCTTTGGAGTGCGGGAGGAATCCGGAGTACCCAGAGGAAACCCACGCAGGCACAGGGAGAACATGCAAACTGCAGGCAGGTGGTGCCGTGGCTGGGATTCGAACCAACGACCCTAGTACTGCCAGGCGGAAGTGCTAACCATTTAGCCACTGTGCTGCCCATAATAGAAAACCATGGTAACCTAGGCTAAGTGTGGCAAAGCAAAAGGAAATTGTTTTAACTAATAAGCCCCTTTGCAGTCACATTATACAATACATAAAGACAAGAAACCAAAGAAGCTCAGATGTGCTTGCCATCACATTTTTGTTCTGGTGTTTTGATTTGTCACAAATCTGGTTGGTCTGATTGCTTTTAGGATGGAGACTAAAAGGTCCAAGGACTCAATTAAAATTTTAGAGTAGTATTATACAAAAAAAATACCAAAAGTATAAAAATGCAAAGGGTTATTCAATTTTAGATCAAACAAACCTGACAGAAAAGGTTAATTACAATATAAAGTAAAAGTCCCTATAATAAGCAGAATGACTACCTGTATCCTGTCTCTAATTTCCATCCGAGTCTGACGCAGGTCACCAACTTGTGGTTGTGATTCTTCATAATGCAACGCAGCACTCTTCCCCTTCTTGTTTGCCACTGAAAAATATATACTGTTACCAATGTAGGGCACCTCATTACAAAAGTGATATAAGTAATTAATATTTATTAATAGAAATAGAAAAACAGTGCGGCGCTTCTATATCCTTACAGCCCTAGATGTAATACAGATAACTTATCACATATAGCTAATAGGTGATAAATAAGTGATACCACACAGTAAAAGTGACTATTGCACAATAACATGAATAGTGTCCATGTGGAAAAATGAAGTCATGCAGGTGTGCACTACAAGTGCCAATCCTCAGACAGGTGGAGTGCCCCCCTCCTCACATAGATGGAGTGCCAATCTGCACACACTACAAGTGCCAATCCTCAGACAGGTGGAGTGCCCCCTCACCTTCCTGCCCAGGCCCCACAGGACCAACGAGCCTTGGGTATATAATCGCTCTATACCCCTGAGCGTGGATGGATCCCTCTGCTGATGGGTTCCCCGGATGACAGTATTGGGCTTCTCCTCCTCTTAGCTCCTATGCAAATCGTTGGTGGTAGCGATAGGTCTCCCTCCCTCACGATAACAAATGAGGAAAGAGAGCTTGCATAGTGTAAAACCGCTTTATTCAGACAGTAAGAAGTAAAAAAAACGTACTCACATGCTTCTAAAACAAAATCAGGCCTTGTCACCACTCAGAGGGTGTACTGTATTCAGGACCAGGTGCACCAAGATGGCGCCCGCGCCGGATGTGACGTCAGAACGTTCAATCGTATAAGCTCCTCCCCTTGGCGTGTCTACGCGTTACGTCACTCACACACGTGACTTCATCAGGATAACGCCCATCCCGGGTGGAGCTTTATTTATCTCAATAGCTGGCCAATCAGTGATACAAGTGGGCTGAGCTTCACCGCCATAATAGTGGAGCTCACCTAGTATGTATAATCATCGAGGACGTCTAGTGACCAAACGGGCCCGTCCCTCTCAGGTATACAGATACCTATTAGGTCTACTTGGGATAATACCTTGTCTCACATATAATAAGATCATAAGCAGGCAAAAACCTGGCATATATAGAACGATAAGGGTAAAAATGATTATAGGGGAGATATTTAGGAGGAACTAAAAACTTAAAAGGTTCCTTTATAAAGCCATTCTATATCCATCAGGTAGAATATATGGAATAACACCTGCCACTGTCAAAAATATAAAAAAATATATAAAAAAATGTATTACTAAGGAGAATACATATATAAAAGGTAGGGGTATCCATACCACACTTATAATAATAAAACCTTCAATCTACATAATAATATATATATAATGAAAAAAACCCGAAAGGTCATATGTATACGGTACACCATCATCATGATAGCTTAATTAGGCAGCATCCTAAGCCCATACCCGCCACATATCTAGGCCATGTTACGTACATAGGCTAATAGTGTCCAGACCTACATCAATAAATCCAAAAGAGCATGGATGAAGAATACACTAGTCATCACTTTAGAAATTACTAATGAAGCAGTTTAAGTCAAATTCTACATTCAAACCTCTCGGGTATTGGGACCTCATCAAAAAGATCCATTTCGACTCTGCTTGACTAATGGCTCTAATCTTGTTACTTCCTCTCCAGTGATTGTTAAATTTTTCTATACCCCAGAACTTTAATTTCGTTGGGTCGCTTTTATGATGTATAGCAAAATGTTTGGAAACGCTATGTTTGGTGTGCCCTTTTTTAATATTCTGCACGTGTTCACGGATCCTTTTCCACATAGGTCTCTTGGTTCTGCCAATATATTGAAGCCCACACTCGCACTGGAGGCCATATACTACACCTACTGTCTGACAGGATATAAAGTCCTTGATAGTATATGTCACTCCTGTTGTTGTTGCCTGGAATTGTTTTCTTCTTATATTTAAACCCTTTGTCTCCCTACACGCATAGCAGGTCTTACAGGGGTAGAACCCTTTTAGGTCAATAATCGTGGTTCTTAGATTAGTCTGGGGTGGGTCGATCACATTCTTTACCAACCGAGTTCTAATATTTGGAGCCTTTCTATAGATGAATTTTGGTTTAGCAGGTATAACTTTCATCAAGACTGGATCTGATTGTAAGATGGACCAGTATTTCGAGAAAATCTTCTCGATCCTTTTGTGGTGTATGTTATAATCTAGAACAATAGGTACCAAGTCCTCTAGTTGTTTTGTTTGTTCCTTATCCTTAAGTAATTGGGTTCTGTCCATATGTTCTACTTCCTCCATCTTGCTTACAATAAAGTCCTTGTTATAACCTTTTTGTTCAAACCTGTCCCCTAGTTTCTGAACTTGTGCTTTATAGTCATCCACATTAGTACAGTTCCTTCGCAGGCGGACAAATTGTCCTTTGGGGATATTAAGGAGCCATTGGGGGTAATGGCAACTGTCTAGAGAGATATAGCCATTTCTGTCTACATTTTTGAAATAGGTAGTGGTTAGCAGTTTGTCATTCTTAATTGATATGTTAAGGTCCAAGAAATGTATATCTTCCCTACTAGTTTCCCAGGAGAAAACAATGTTCTTGTCATTGGTGTTAAGTGACTGCAGAAATACCCGTAAAGAGTCCTCATCACCCCGCCATAGGATTATCACGTCATCGATATATCGTTTGTATATACTAGCTCGTCCGGTATTTTACAATAGACGGAGTGCTGTTCCCAGTGGGCCATAAAAAGATTTGCCACACTCGGTGCAAAACGGGCACCCATGGCAACCCCCTTGATTTGTTGGAAGAATTGATGTCCGTGCCAGAAATAGTTGTGAGTGAGGCAAAAGTCCAGACACTCAACAATATATTTCTGTTGTTTCCTCAGGAGGTTGCTGTATGTTCTCAATCCCCAGCTAGTGGATGTAATCGCGTTCTCATGGTCAATGATGGTATATAGCGAGGAAACATCTGCACTCGCTAGCCATAATTCTCTGGTATCTTGGATCGTAGTTAAGGTTTGAATCAAGTGTTTAGTGTCTTTGAGGTAAGAGACTGTGTTTTTGACTAGTGGCTGTAGAAACGTATCTACATATTGCCCTAGCCTTGATAGAATAGAATCGATCCCATTCACAATGGGTCTTCCCGGGGGGTTATGGAGGTCTTTGTGGATTTTGGGAACTAGGTAAATAATGGGTATTCTGCATGTGTCCGGTAAGAGGTATCTAGCTTCTTTCTTATTGAGGATATTCCTCTGTACTCCTTTATCTATCAGAATTTCAAGTTCTTTCCTATACTTCATAGTAGGGTCTTTGTGCAATATTTTATATGTAGTAGTATCTTTTAATTGTGAATTGAGTTCTCCTAAATATTG